GGAAGTGCCAGGTTCTTCTTTTCATATGTCTGATAAAACCTGACCATTTATTATGAGGTTCCTTAGATCTGCCAGAAGAATGAAAATTTAAACATGGCCTACTCTATATGATAATCAGATAGATAGATAAAATGTCTTGCTATGTTTTTCTATGATTTTACTGCAGAAAAACAATACAGAAAAAAATGTTTCACAAAGCAAGAAATATTGCTTGAGAGAAGAATCTTCAATAGTTCATCAGTTTTCCCAACACGTTTGTTCTGAAATTATCAAATGGGATTCAGAAATCATTCATAACTAGATGGTACCTAAAAATATCTCACTACTTTAAGCTCTGGTAGAAAGAAGAGGTTCTCTTTTTTCCTCCTTTTTCTACCATTTTGTTATTACTTGTATCCAGGCTATTATATATATTTTTTATTTTGGGGGCTTCTGTGTGAATGTATTTCCAAGCAGGGCAAGATATTTACTATGTGTACTAATTACAGCTCTATTTCATTTCTAAATGTAGATGCTAAGATTTTAATAGCTGCTTGGGCCTGTAAATTCAAGGGCATCCTTCCAACAATAGTGTACCCAGACTGAATTTAGACAGTGTCAATTTTCTGGTAATATCACATCTTTAACTGATGTTGGTGTTCTTCAAAATAGATAACAATCAGCAACTGTGGTTGATTTGAATGCAGAGAAAATCTCTGAATGCAGAGATCGTATTGTCAATTTTTGAAGTGGGTTTTGATTTCTTTTTGATTTCTGCAAAGCACTATTGATCGATATAATTTATTCAGCTCCTAAGTGACAGGTAATTATTAATAGTGTGCTTTCTTTTTCTTTAAATTTATGTTGAGATACAATGAAGGATTTCCTCCACCTCCTTTTCTTTTTAGTTTGGCTTTAGAGCCCCTTGTCTACATAAGAAAAGTCTAATTACAGATGATGACAGGGCGGACATAAATGGGACTGATGATGTTATCTGGCATTGATGGTGTTACCTAGTTGGGTAATGAAACATCTGCAAGCAAACAACCAAGCAACCAAGCTCAGAGAGCACCAAGGGCTCCAGACATAAAAGGTTACATAGGCTAGTAGTATGTTTTATACATAAACTATGAATTATTTTTTATCTTATGCCATTAATATGTGAGACTGAAATCCCATCTAACTTACTCAATAAACTGGAGTAAATTGGACTTGATGTCACTTGATCACAGTAACAATTTGGAAAAGTATCAGTATTGGGGGTTATGTTCTCACTCCTTTACCTTGACAAATAGATTTTGAGGAACCCTTTTCAACTGGTAAGTTTGAGCTTACCCCGTTTTGTTGCAGATGAAAGAATATATATCTAGATAGATAGTCTAAAATTTCCTGGAGTATTTGGGTAAGATACATGCAGTTAATATGAATATAACTCCAAGGTTGATGTATAGTCTGACAGATTTCCCCATCTTTATTCCAGAACATTATTTTAAACAAATGTACAAAATACTGAATACATTTATGTGGTAAAAATATCCTGCAAGATTTTCATTGCAAAAATTATGATTGCCAGTTAAGAAAGGTGGATTTAACTTTCTATACTTCCAGACTTATGATGGGGCATTTATCTTAGCTTTGGTAATTATCTGGAATGAAGAACCTCAAAGGTCAACTACTCTTTGGGTTCAGTTTGAGGTTTATAATCTGAACCCATTGAAGTCCTGGCCAATACTGGGGTTACTGTTTGTGCATGTATCAGTTTCCATAGCTGTATTTAATGCTAGAAGAGATATACAGGGAAGGTTAAGTTACAGGTATAACTTTGACCCATTTATGCATGGAAAGCTTATATGCTAGGATAACTATAGATTAAAAATAGCATATAAATATGTTTTTAGGTAAACTTGACCTTTCATGATATTATTACTTTGGATAATTGTTTGATTTATCTCAGAGTATTCATCTTCAGTACTTGTTACTTGGTTTGTATGGTTGGATCTGCTTCTAAAGCTTCATAACATTTAGAAAGAATTATCAGCAGTTTTGATGGAATTATCTGGGCCTTTTGAGCCAGTAATTTTATTTTATACCAACTTGAAATTTTGAGATCACAAAATAATGATCTTTGAAATGATGTGCTTGGGTGGCCTGTTCTGCTAAATCAATGGAAGGTTGAATTAATTTCCTATGATTTTAAAATGAGGTTTAAAGAAAAAAAAATACCCTTGCTTTTTGTATACTGGACACCTCAAAGAATTGCAATAAACCTGTTGTGGGAAATGGAATTTTGGAGCTGAAACATTAATCGACATGGCTTAATCTTGTTCCATTATTATTGCATTTGAGGCAGACTCAAATGACTTTGGATAAATAGCTATATATTCAAGATGCATATGTTCTTCTTGGCTATATTGTCAGCATTTGGAATCTATTAAGATTGTTGGTTGGCTAAAAAAATTATGATGCTTGAGACGAAAAAAAATTACAACAAAAAAATTATATGTGTTGGTTGTCATGACTTTTGAGAAAAATTATCAGATTTTCTTGTTCTGTTTAAAATAATCTCAAGGTCTTTTTTTTAATCTCCACTTTTTAATGCTATGCTTATTAATTTTGTCATTGTGCTGCTCTTTTAATGATGTGTATATTTTTACTTTTTATTAGTTTGTATAATAACAGTTTTTTTTTAAGTTTAACTTATGATATTCTGAAATATGGGTAATTGGTGGATTAATATACAGTGCATTCGGAAAGTCTTCAGACCACTTTTTTCAATTTTGTTATGTTGCAGCCTGATACTACAATCGTTCAAATTCA